GGGGGGGGGGGGGGGGGGGGGGGGGGGGGGGGGGGGGGGCTTGGCTTCTTTGATCGTGTTCGTATCATCGTTATTATCCTAGTTTAGTGTTCCTATTGATTGTTAGCTCGGGTTTGTTGGAGGGTGTATCAAACAAGCCTCGTGCCAGGCGTTGTCACTCCTCTTCGACAAAGGATGCCCGACACACGAAGCTGCATGGATGCTGCGAGGGTGCACCCTTTACGGACTTTGCTGGAGAGATTTTGTTCGACAAGGTACATGATCTGCATATTATAGGCAGGAGGCGGAGAGGCAAGAAAGCACTGAGTGGCTACGAAGACAAGCAGACAAATTAACATCACGCACTTGCCTGTGTTTTTGTGCAACATACATGCGAGGACACCCACACATATTGCAGAGCGAATTGGTATTGAAGCATCAACTTGCACTGGATAGAGTGCTTTGCCGTGAACGGCCAGCCGTACAACGCCTTGACCGCTGCAGGTACTTCCAGTTGGTGCCCCAGAATTTTCTGGAGTTGGCTCAGCCTTCGCTGTTCCGCTGTTTCGCTGAATGTCTTCGCATCCCTTCGCTCTAGAGTGCTCGGCAGAAGAGCCCCCCTTTCATCAACAACCAAAAAGTAATCCACCCCGCATATGGTCCCTTCTTACCAAACCCTTGCATACAGAATCCTCAAGTAGTGATCCGTAGATCTGGACCTTCGCTGTTAGTTATTTGAGTCCGGAAGTGCTTCGCGGCAGAAGCTTTGCACTTGGAGTCAATCTTCCGCTTGTAGCAACATTTGGAGGCGCTCCGGTGTTTCTGTCGGTGCTACGATGTTCTAGTCATGCCTGCTGGGGCTGTGTTTTTTTTCTCTATCGCTCCCGTCGCGTCATGCGGCCACAGGATCTGCCCTCACCTGGCGCACCGCTATGTGGCTCAGGTCGTCTTCGTGGTGGTGAACATAGTCAGCTTGTACCTGATTTACAGCTACTTCCATCTTGTTCCGATGCTCCAGAGCTCGGATGAAAACAGGCCAGCCGGGACATCCACACCGTAAACCCTAAAACCCACAACCCTAAACCCTAAAACCCCAAACCCCAAAACCCTTGGTCAAAACCCTAAAGCCTGAACTCCTGGTTTGGTTACCTGTACGACGGCCATCCTGACCTCCAGCGATGGGGTCTGTGTTGAGATCACGAGCTGGACTGTACTGCATCGGAGAGCTTTTTCGGGAGTTGGCAAGATGTTCTGGACATGGCCCTCTCATCTACGTGCAAGACTCAACCTGAAGCTTAACGAATCCGGGCTCTGAAGCTTCCCTCGCGCGGAGCTACACTTCGCAGGCTATGCAAAGGTTTTCAAGAAACCCTCCGTCTTGCAACCCATTGGTGTGGCAGATATCACACGGGCATCATCCAGACCGCCGTCTTCAACGGTGCTCGGAAGCTTAGTCGCCTCCGAGCTTGCGGAAGTTGGGGACGGGGGGGGGGGGCTTAGGCACAGGACTCGGGATTAAACGAACTTCTGATCTGTTTTTTTTTTGAGGGACTTGCTGTTTAAGCTTGTAAGAGTTGAGGCTTTGGGTCTCAAGGAGATTTGTGACTGTTCGGGGTCGCTACAGCTTCAAGCTCTGTGGTTTAGAGGGCCCGTCCTGCCTTGGAGTCTCCGGTGGAAGGTTGAAGAGCAACGAACGAATGACCCTGAACCTCTTTTGAGCCTCTCAGCCCGAACTCGTCAGTTGAAATGCTCCAGCCGAAGCTACTCGCTTCGCTCAGATCTCTTTCATGCTCATGGTCTGCTATCTGCGGGCCGCCAGGGCCCCAGAGGATTCGCCCTTCAGGGTTGGGTTTTTTAAGGTTTCGGGGTAGGGGAAATTCCAGCAAGTTGGGCTTTGGAGCGGAAGGTCCACTGCAACCTGGAGTCCTATCTCGCAGGTAGGTGCCAAGCACTAGAACCTGTTCCCACCAGCCTCCTAGATGCAGCTACGGCCTGCGAAATGGCTTCAGACGCTAAACCCTAGAGGGTCTCAGGAATCTGGCCGGGTTCAGGGTTGCAGCTGCCGGAGTCTTCATGCAGGTGTCGGGGTTTCGTTTGGGGCTCTTGGATCTGGGCTTTCATGCATGGGCCTCGCACTACAGTCTGGACCACAGCGCCGTCGTGGTCCCTCATGCTGGGGTCTAAACAACCAGTACAATATGACTTACCTCTAGTCACCATGTATTTATGAAGCAGTATGCCGCAAGATCCAATTCCGATTGTCGCACGCTTTTTCCAAAGCCCTGTAGTAAGACCTAAAGGAACCCTTAAAAGCCCTTAACGGAACCCTACTCCAACCATCCAGGCCCCTCTTAAAAATGAGGATGTTTTTTTAGTGCTTCGGCCGCCTGCCTCGGGCCGAGGTCGCCACAAACCCCGGGAACATTCCTTCCAAGGAGGCGGCGGCAAAAAGGGGGCTCTTGGGGCTTTCGGCAAGGCTCTCTTAGGCCTGGCTTTTTGCTATGAAATACCGTTTTTGGGGCCTTCTGGCCCGAAGCGCTCTTTCAGCCTAGAGAGCCCGGAAGACGCTTGGGGAAGGGAGTTCCAGACTTTCGCGATGCAGGGCCGGTTCGGCAAGCATGGTCTAATGGGTAGTTCTCTAAATTGGGGTCCCAGTTTAGGTCCCCCAAATAGTACGGCACCCTTATATAAGGACCCTAGAAAGGATCCTAATTTAGAGAACTATCCTAATTGATGCAAGGGCAGCCTTCTATGGCATGAAGTCATTGGAGCGATGAAGTGCAATTCGTGTCCACAAAGTACCTGCATGAACACGTGTGTATGGCCAAAAAATGAAGACGTAAGTTTTGGAACGGTCGACCATAAAAGCGTAGACTGGAAACAAAAGGACCCCTACTGTAACTTTCAGAACCACCCAACTCAGATCAACTTCTGCGAGCCTCGCCGAAGCTAAACCCTAAATCCTAAACCCTCTAAACCCTAAACCCTAAACTTTAAACCCTAAAATCCGAAGCCTAAGCCTTGGAATGGCAGAGGAAGACCCCCGCTGGGAGTATGTGCCAGACCAGACCGTGCAGCAGCCCGAGACAAAGGACGCGAGACTCAGGGCTTTGAGGCTCGGTTCTTGCCAAGGAATTTATGTTGAAGTTGCCCAAAAATAAGGATACCAAAAATTAGGATATCAAAAATAAGGATACCAAAACGGATACCAAAAATAAGGATAGCCTCTTCCCTGAGGCCGCAAATCTCCGGGCTAGGCCCGAAGCTCCCAAAGCCACCCAGCTCTACACTTCTTATGGCTCTCAAAAGCCAAGACCGTATCTAAACCTCGGAACCCCAAACCAACAATCCCCAAATATCCCTTACGGCCCTCAAAAGCACCAGTAACTTATAGCCAAAGCCCATAAGAACCGCGAGAACCCCAACGAAGCGCGTAGGAGACGAAGAAGACCGGCGAGCGCCGGCACTGCAAATGGTGTGCGAAGTGCCCCCGCCCGCGGAGTGGCGGTTCCGGATTCGCGATTTACGATTTAAGGGGTGTTTGATGTCTTTTGTTTGGTTTTGCCTTTATTTAGGTTCGGCTGAATTTCTGGGGGCTTCTCGAGGAGTTAGCACTGTCAGAGTTTGGGATGTCGGGTCAGCCTTGCCAGCCGTAGCATAGCTTGATCAGGTGCCTGGTTAGTCCGCCAGGTACAAGCCCGACAGAACTCATCATTGTCGCGTGTGCCGGGACCCGAGTTGCGAGTGATGCCTTTGGCGATGGTGGCATAGGTTCAGTGATTCAGGGTCTCAGGACCCAGGATTTTTGGGATAGGTGTTCGCATCTGGGATTCTTTGAGTAAGTTGGATCCTCGGGATGCTATGTAATTACCGTAATTGTGGATGTCCCAGCTGTAACTAATCCCTTCTTCTTCTCTGCTTGCTCGGCCCTCTGAGACTCTGAGCAGGATGCTGGTTGGACCGATGCCGAGGTTCTTGTCCCTGCAGTGTTCGAACCCTTAGCAGAGCCTCAGTCCTGAACCTCGGAGCCCGAAACCCCGAAGGCAATCAAGCTAGACCTTCAGGCAAGAAGTGTATCCTCAAGATGGATCACCACTGTCCCTGGATCTACAACTGCGTGGGCTTTAGGCAGCGGTCTGACTTGAGGTTCAGGGTGCCGGGTTTGGCTTAGGTCGAGGGTGCCGGGTTGAGGAGTGAAGCGAGGAGTCTTGAATTAAGGCCCTGGGATGTGGGCTTTCGGATTCTACACTCGTCCCCGGGGCCTCAAAGTCAACAAGCCTGGCAATCAAAAAGCTGGTTTTGGGCTCAAAGCTTTGTCGGTCAAGGTCTTTTCGGATGTAGTTCTTGTAGTTCTTGGTTTGGGGTTAGTACAAGGGGTTTAATGGCAGGCTAGCCAACTGCAGGACCTGCGTCACATAGCTGAGGGCTTGCGGATGTCGGTTTGGTTTCGGTGCCATGCCGCAGCAGCTCACTAGAGGGCTTTGCTTCATCCACCCCTGTCAGTCAAAGGCGAGAGGGGGCAGGAGAGAGAGAGTTGAGTCTCGCAGGAATCACAAGTACTTCTTCCTGCTGCTCCTGTACTCCGCGGCAGCTTGCAACTTCATCACGGTCACCATGATCCCGCTGGGACACCTATAGTCGAGGGTTCCGGGACTTCCGGTCTTTGGGGGTAGGGTCAGGAAAGTGGGGTTTAGGGTTTGGGGTTGTACGGGTTCATGGGTTTGGGTTTATAGTTTAGGGTTTAGGGTTTAGGGTTTAGGGGTTTAGGGTTTAGGAATTTAGGGGTTTAGGGTTTATGCTTTAGGAAGTCAAGGGACTGAGCATCTTGTTGTGTTGACAAAAACTTAAGGAACGACTCAGCCCGATCGAATACAGCTGACTCACTTGGTAAAGACCCCTGAGAAACTTAATCCGAGAGCTAGACGGAAACCCCAAAAGCCTGTAAATCCTAAACTCTTCGGTGAGCATGGCGAGTCGAAAAAGGTCCATCAAAACAAGGCCTAAACTCCCCAACCCTAAACCCAACAGAGACCTCTTTGTTGAGCATGCGGAGGGTCGCCTCGCTTCTCTAAGGACTGTAGAATCTGCCGTGGAGCAGAACTCTGCCTTCGCGCAGATGCGCTGGGCTGAGAGGGTGTGATTTCGTTTTTTGGGATTCGGAATCTAATCTTCGGATCTACGTACCTCAAAACCTCTAGCCCGATAACCAGGCGGTACGATCCCCGAAGCCCGTATCCCTGCGTCTCTCAAGCTCGAGCGTTTGTGTCTGACCACCACCCCCCCGCCCCCCCGCACCCTGAAGTCCTTCAGAGCCACACACGTTCCTCAACAATTCTGGCAGCATCTAGCAGACAAAGCCCAATTCCGAACCCGAGACCCGCAACTTCAACCCCAGACCCTGAACCCAAACCCCAAACTACATAAACAAAAAGTTTCAAAAGCCACAGAAACCCAAAATTCCCAAAAAAACCTCCAAGCCCCCTCAAAAACCCTCCCTAAAAGTGGAGCCCTTGAGCTGCACGCTAAGGTTCCTCGTGCTCTTTGCGGAGACGCTCTCCGCCTTCTTAGGGATCCTGCCCCTGGGCTTTACTTTAAAAAGCCGCGGGGGCTCTGGGGTTTATAAGGTCAGGGTCTAGGGCTTTAATTTAAAAACGCAGGGGCTCTGGGGTTTTTGGGGTTTTTGAGTTCAGGGTCTATAGGGCTTTGGTTTGGGGTTGTCCGGCAGGTTGTAGGGGCTTTTGGGTTCAGGGCGTTTAGGTGTACGGAGTTAGGTTTAGGGCTTCGGGGTTTACGTTGTGCTTTAGGTCATGTTTTTTCTAAGGCTCAAGGTGGACAGTCTCAGGGTTCAGGGTGCATTGAGGCCAGACATAGCGCAGGCTCCAGGATTTCAGGGTGTTGGGTTGGCGCTTTCGGAATTGCGGGGGCGTAGTTTACGTTTCCGAAGCTCGGAAAGGCTTGTCAGATGGGCAAAAAACAAAGGTCTCCCAAGCCCACGTGTCCGTGACCCTAAGCCCCACACCCAGCCCCCATCCCGACCCCCGAGTCCCAAAACCCAAATCCTGAATCCAGCATTCGTCGACCAAAGGCGCTTAAAGCAGCCCAGGATCAGCCTCTTCTTCCTCTTCCACGTCTGGCTGATGCTGCAGGTGCCCTCGTCCGGGTTAAGGGAACCCAAAAGCCGCCCGACAGCGCACAACCTTGAAAATGTCTCTGCACCGGAAAGCCAGCGCAGGCCATGACTACGATCGAGTTCTGCGAGAAGAGTAGCAAAGACCAGAGACGGACTCTCAGCGTTTCCGCTGGAGAGTGCGCATTTCGGGTTGTCTAGGGCCTTGACTTCCGAACGAATTATGTGGAGCCAACCAGCTGGAAGCGACACCGCAGCGAACTCGAACCTTGCCCTAGGCCCGAGACCCCAGGCCTTAAACTCTAAACAGCGAGCTGGGACGTTCGAATTCGTTTGGGAAGACAAAGAATCTAAGAAAGTATAGGATGACGGCATGAGAGTGTAGGCATGTGTAAGCGATGTAGAGCGGCTGTCGGACAGGGCTTAGTAGGTTGCCCTAAACCCTAAATCCCAAGCCCCAAACCCTAAACCCTAAACCCTTCCATCGTCAGCTTCGACCTTGCGCAAGACGCAGTGTAATTCTGCACTCTTCGTGCACCAGATGTCATTTATAGCACTTCGGCCGCATGCTGAGGCTTTAGCGCCTCTGTGCACGACCGCGGCATCAATGGCAACGTCTCCTGGACCTGTTGGCCTTTCCGAGGGGTGTTTTGGCATTTCGGATGAAAGTGTTTTGCAAGGAGGTTTGGAGCCATTTTCCTGAAACCCTTTTTTCGGACAGGCTTAAGGCTCAGGGCTTTCAGGGTTTGCCAGCTGGGACTGAAAGGTGCCGAAGTCCTCTTGCACGACGGGCTAGCTGTCGTTGTTGCCGGCGTAAGTCTTCAGTGTTTCAGGTTCGGCTCTTCCTTTAGGCTTTAGGGCACGAGGGTTTATGGGTTGGGGAGATCCGGGCTTAAAGAATTGCCAAGACAAACCTTGGCCATCTCAAAACCACCAAAAGCCTCGGTCCCAAGCTGCAGACCCCCACCATCTCGTCCCGCACCGCGACCACCAATGTAGGAGCCTGGCACACATGAATGGAGGAGCTATCCGTTGGGAGCATGTGCACCAGAACTCCCTAATGCCCGACTCTTTATATTCCCCCATACCCCCGAGAACATCAGCGGAAAGCCCGCTCCTTGCAGATTCGTGCTGTTCTCGGAGACTGGATGATTCTGTGGCTACTGCCAGACGCCGAGAAGCGGAGCTCTAGGCACCCGAAATTCCAACTTTCCTTCCTCAAGCAGGTACGGCTTGGGTTTGCGGCGCGGGTATAGCTCACCGGTTTTCGGAGACAAGACTTGGCAAAGAGCAACCTGAGGCCAGTGTCACCTCCTTCTGGCAATGGCACGGACTTTATTGTCCTGCCCTCGGCTCCCTAAGAAACCAGGCAAGATGAAGTTGCATATGCCGAACACTTTTGGTCTTCGCAGAAAAAGCCTGAAGCTCTTCCAGCCTTTTGAAGCGTATGTCGGGCTCACCGGGAATGTCGGTGCATGTACATCTTGGCGGTGTCCTGTTGGAGAACCTTTCATCTACCATGTTTACACCCTGAGCCTTAAACCAGGCCAACCCTGGGCTTCGCTTCGTAACGACCGCATGAGCAGCCTCAGATCCTTCGGCATGGAAGCCTGGAGCCCCGGGTCGTTGAACCGGTAAAGCCGAGAGCATACCATATGGGTGCCTCGAACGTAACTACATCCTCCAGGCTCCGTGTTTCGAGGGACCCGAAACACGGCCTTCCACCCCTTCTCCCTTCCGCTAGGAAGCAGAGGGTGCCGATGACCCCTTCATCACCAAAACGCTGGAGCCCGACCGCGGGCTGCGACGGAAGATGCGCCAGGCCAGTGAGCCTGCATTGGTGACGACGACGATGTTTCTTCCCATACTGGTTGCCATGACGATATTGATGATGGAGCAGCAGCGGCTGCTGCATCCGCTGATGATGATGGTGATGATGAATATGGTGATGATGATCATCATCAGCAGCATCCGCAGCATCAGCAGCATCAGCATCAGCATCACCATCAGCAATACCATCACCATCAGGATTACCATCACAATCAGCATTACCATCACCATCAGCATCCTCATCCTCATCCTCATCCTCATCAGGAGCATTATCAGCATCGATGCTTTTCAAAGTGATGATGGTGCTCGTGTTTCTGAATGTTTTCGTACTATTTGTTTCGCTGCGATCATTTTGATACTTCCCCACACTGAGGACCGTCTCAAGACCCTACATCTATGCTCTAGAGACCTTCACAACACCCGACTGCGAGAACCGTAGTTCACATGAAGATTGAGTGTGGATAAGAGGGGCTGCCAGGGGGAGCCGACAAATTGCTGTGCCTTGCTCTCAAGTGGCTGCGCCTTTAGGCTCCGAGACGAATCCGGGGACCCAAACCTCCACAGCCTGCAGTTCCTCATGCCGCAGCAGCCCGAAGCAAAATTTCTTTGTCGGCTGACCGAAGTCCCTGCCGGCTGGCCCCTGGCGATCGTCATCGACACCTTCGCCGACTTGGCTTATTTTAATGCGGACCGAGCTCGCGAGGCGCTGAGCGGGCGGCTAGTGGAGCTCTGGGCCGCGCAGCCGGCGGAGGCCGAGGCCTGGCTCGAGCGGTGCCGGGAGCGCTTTGCACAGGAGCTCGCGGGCAAGGAGACGAGGCAGGAGCTCCTCAGCGAGGCGCTGCTCCGGCACGAGGCGGCCGAGTTCGGCAAGTACAACGCCACCTGGCGCTTCTCCGAGGCGGGGCTCCTGCGAGGGTCGCGCAGCTCAGCAGCGGAGCGGGAGCGCCGGGCGGCTGAGTGCCTGCAGTGTCCCCTCCTCCGTGCTCGCTGCCGGGAGCTCGCGGAGCGGCTCGAGGAGGCCGAGAGCCAGGAGACGGCGCGGAAGCGTCAGAAGCTCGAGGAGGAGACCGCCGAGCGCCGGCGCCTCGAAGCGGAGCTCCACAAAACGCAGGAGGAGGGCCGAGATCTGCGCAATCGCCTGGCTGCGGCGGAGGCGCAGGTGTCCAGCAAGACCGCGGAGCTCCAAACTGCGCAGAGCGAGAGCGCCATGTGCAAGCAGCGGTGCGAGGAGCTCGCAAGCCGCACGGCAGCTGCAGAGTCAGCCTTAACAGAGATGCGGCAGGAGCTCCGGCAGTTGCAGGGCGAATGCAGCAACTGCCGGGAGCGCTGTGAGGAGCTCCTGACTCGGTTGGAGGCGGCGGAGGCAGAAGCTTCCGAGCATGCCAAGACCAAGGAGCTTCTGGCGCAGGCCGAGTCCCATGCCGCCGAGAAGCAGCTGGAGGTGCAGCGGCTGCAAGAGGAGAGTCGCGAGTGTGTGTCAGCAGAAGAGGCCAAGAGCAACGTTGAGCTACGGCTCCAGAACGCGGTGCTGTTAGAGCGGTGCGAGCAGCTCCGGCAGCAGCTCGCCAAAGCAGAAGGAAAGCTGGGCCAGATGCAGGTCTTGTGGGAAGAGAAGGCCACTTACAAGGAGCGTTGCCGTCAGCTGGAGCGCCAGCTTTCCGAGGCGAAGCCGCCCCACTCCGGCGGCCCTTCGGTCCATGCCACACTCAGCCGCCAAGGCCAAGCACCCAGCGACGATGTGGCTTCCCGCGGGAATTCAGATCTGACCGAGTACATTCTGGTGGACGATGAGGTGGCCTCCTCCCTCTTGAGCCACTCCTCTTGGTTTTCCGTGAAGCCCGACTGCTTCATGGCAGACGCCATCTTCAAGACCCGCAGCTCCGGTGTCGACTTCTTTATGATGGGTCGGGACCTCCGAAAAGGGTCGCAAGTGGTGGCCGGGGACGACGAGACAATTTTGGAGGTCTGCGAGGCTCCGGTGGTGTGCCAAGCCAAGGATGTCGTCCGCTTGCAGGCCGGTGCCGCGACGCTGAGGGTCACGGCAGATCATGCAGTGCAGGTCCCAGCAGCGGACGGTGGGATGAAAGGTGGAGCAGACGGAGACAGCTGCCGCTACGTCCCAGCAGGAAGCCTGAAGCCGGGTGCATTGGTCATGCTCGATTCCGGGGAGCCCATGAGCCTCACAGGCGTAGCATCAGAAAGCGGCGAGCATGAGGTGCTGAAGCTCGCATTCAAGCCGAACTTGTCTGTCGCAGTCTTCTCATGCTCACCTTGCATCCTCAGCAAGGGCGCCAACAGCAAGCCGGCAATCCGCCGCGCTAAGATGGGGCGGCGCCGAGGTCAGGGATCGAGGGCCGAGGATGCAGATGAGGGAAGAGCCTCCATGCCGAACACGGCCGGGACATCGACTGAGATTCTGCTAAGGGGGGCAGCATGAAGAAGAAGACACCGATGCAGTCCTGAGCTATCCCGAGCCACTCAGAGCCAGCCAATTCGCGATTCTCCGGTAGTGTTGTCAAGGCGTTCAGAGCACGGGGCCTCTCAATCGCCAGTGCCTTTCGCTGCTTGAGTTGTCGCCGGAGTCGCCGGAGTGCAGCGCACGCCGTCCCAGTTCACGAGCATCTAGAATCTAGCTTCTTCCATCTTCTTCCGTTTCTCGAGCTTCGGGTCGTGATTCACTCTGATGCTAGAGGATATTCAGTTGGCTCTTTGAGACATAAAGAAAAAACAATATATATATATATCTACAAACATACATATGTATATGTAGATGCTACAGTAGCGATACCAGCAGCAAGGTGACGGGCAGTGCCGGCACGAAGGCTTTGCATGAATCTTCCAGCACTGTGTGGCTCGCAGTTTTGCTTATCCTGCACAGAAGTTCGCAGGAAGACCTCCGTCTAGCCAGCAAAGCCACTTCACGTTCTGTCTTCCTTGCCCAAAGACAAAGCTCCGAGCCGGTGCTAAGCCCGAATCACTCTGAGCTTGCAGCCGAAAACATAGACCCGAAACATTATTATTATCATTATCATTATCATTATTATTATTATTTATTATTATTATAGGTCTTCTTCTTCTCCTTCTTATTATTATTATACCCCGACACGCTCAACCTCGAAGGCGGTTCGGGTCATCGAGCGGCGAGTATCGACCTAAAGTGCAGACAGGATCAGACAAGTGGCAGGTGCTGCAAGGATGGCACGGGCGATGTACGAGAGGGAGACCGATGGCGGTAGTTCAGATTCCAAAACCCTTCGCCCTCCACACTAAATCCTCACACCCTGCACCTGAAACTCCTGAGCCCTAAACCCTAAAACCTGATTGGAGCGAGGCGGCCTATGGTGCCACCGGCAGCGGCAAGAGGTGGAGAGTCCTGCGGGCGACGGAGGGAATCAGGGTTCTCTGAGTCTAGGGTTTAAGGTTTAGGGTTTAAGGTTTAAGGTTTAGGGTTTAAGGTTTAGGGTTTAGGGTTTAAGTTTCTGGGTTTAGGTTTAAGGTTTAGGGTTTAGCGTTTAAGGTTTAGGGTGTAGGGTTTAGGGTTTGGTACAAGGGTTCTTTGAGGGGTTTAGGGCTTGACTCTGAGGCATTTTGGCATCTATTCCTAGCCTCAGGTCATGGGTTATGATCTTGCATTCGTTTTCATCCAGTGAAGTCCCCAAGAACAGACCTGCTAACCGGCCCTCTGAAGCCGGGCATCTTTTTTTAAAGTTGCTGTCACCACTAGCTCGCATTGGGTTCTCCCATGTTGCTACGCTCATCCGACCCCATGCCTGCTACAGCTGAGCAATGCATGAAGCATGTCGAGGTAAACTGGGGTCCATGTTTCGCGGGTTCTTGCCAGGGGACTATATGTAAGTTACCAGAATAAGGAAACCATATTATTTACTATAGATCCCCACTATGGTAACTCCTAAACCCGAAACCCTTAAAGGAGCCCTTTGTAGATCTCATTGTGGTAACTTAAATAAAGCTCCCCTAACATGAACCCAGGTTCTGGAGTCCTTCGGGCTGTCGCGGCCATACGAAACAAACCCTAAGGCTCTAAGGACTCATGTTTCTAAGGCTTTTTGGCCCAAAACCATACTATATACGGTTTTTTGGGGCCATTTCGAGCCTTGGGGAAATCGTTTAACTTCATTTGGTGGTGGTGGGACTCAGCTGGGCACTTGGGATTTAGGCATCTGGGATGGACCTGGTCATGGATCATGCATCAGCGAGCACCGCTCCCGCTCAAGGCTCGATGTTCAGTCTAGAGTCTGTAAGAGCCTGTGGCTTTCAAAGCCTGCGACCGGCATGGGCTGCGGCGCGAGTTGCGCGCCTGCCTCTGGAAAAGTTCTCCCGCAAGGCGTGCTGCCAGCAGAGCCCGACCGTGCATTCCATCAGCTCCGAATGGCCCAGCTCAACCTCTACCTGGATGCCGTGAGTCGGAAGCCAGAGGCCTTCGTGAAGGCCGTTGAGAGGCGCCGGCAAGACCAGGGACCCTTAAACGCAGATGGGGTCAATGCCCTCTCGATTCGAGGGCTGCTCGCCGCAGATGAGGGAGAGTCGACGGAGTAATGTAGGGGCCTGAGTACTTTGGTACTAGTATCCCCCTTAGAGGTTTACACAAAATAGAGTCTATACTTCTTCCCCTTAGGGACTTTTGAGCAGTGTAGTGTACCTCCAAAAGCTTGTTCCAAGTACGGAGGGTCCCTACATTAACGTGCATCCGGCTTTCGACATCTGACAACCTCAGACCGACTCGGAAGCTGAAGCAGGTTCGCTTGCAAGAAGACAGGAGCAGAAGAGCCCCCACTGACGGCTTTCCCGACAGAACCGAAGGTGGAGTGGAGAAACACCATGGTGGGGCATGGAAACCAATGCCGCATTCTCTGTCGAGAGTTTGCGAGCAGAAGGTTCAATTTATGATTCGCTCTTAGATTTTGGACTCTTGTCGCGAGCTTTGGTTCGCGACCTGAGAAGTCCCGACAGTTCTATGCCGCTTGAAACCCCCATGTGAGGGGTTGCAAGTGAGCCCACTCCCTGTCTCCAGAAGTTCGAGTCAATGACCGATGGCCAGTCGGCGAGTGCCCAAGAAATCACAGGTGATGGTGGTGAGATACTGGAATCACTGGAACAATTACACACACTGTGAAACAAGGGTTTCCCACAAACAAGCGAGCAAACCCGACTCCCCTCGGCTTCAGAAAAGCAGCCCTAGCTAAGCAACTCGGTGTTGTTGTGAAGGTTCTCCGTGCTTGGCTGGGACTTTGCTTGCAGGTTCCTTTGCTGTGTGGCTTCTGCTGTCAGAGTTCTCGTCCAGTGACCTTCCTGCCGGAATCAAACTCTCATCCCAACGAACACCCTGAGGAGCATTGCCCGAATACTTGTTTGTGTGGATGGATCGCAGAATGCAAGTATCTGCACGATTGAATGTGCAGAGTGACTATGGTAGCGGCTTTGGCTGTTGAGCTCTCTCTTGTCGAAGACATGGCACTATTGTGGATTCCGCGAAACAGCATCACGACTCAAACGCTGCGATGGGCCAAGAAGATGCCAAGAAGCCTGTCCGCTTCCTTTTCCTCATCCCTACCGTCAACTTCAGTGCAAGCTCAATGTAGCCGGGAGCAACTTGGAGACAAGGAGCGTTCTTCGGGCAAAAAGAAATGTTCTATTTCTGTTCAGGCTTTTCGCGCGGAGGGGAGTTTCTGTCCTTCCGGCGCCCGCTTAGCGGCAGCAGGGTCGCCCCCATTGGGGCTCCGGGTTTGCAATTTCGGTCCGACAGATTTAGGGAGTATTCTTTCTTCTTCTAGTCTCATATTCTTCATCTTTTGTATCTTTAGTTCCTATCTACTGTTCCTAGTATTGCATTATTCGTATTCATCGCACGAGTAGTACTACAAGCATACAGTGCCATAAGTGTTTGATTTGGAGTAGTACTCGTATGATTATGTTTACTATGATTGTGACGATGGCAATCTTTATTAGGGTTTCCATGAAGTCTTTTTTGAAGATGACTGGAGCCTGCTGCCGCATCTAAACAAGTATTTTTGAAACGATCCGCTGAGCAGGCTTCGAGAGATCGCATCACGGAAGAGCCACGTGATGTGGCTCTCTATAGCAGAGCCATAGCTTGTGTGCTATGCTGCAGCATATTTGCGTTGTTGATTCCAGAGCTTTTCAGCAGGTCTACGTTTTAACAGAGAATCCTCTGCAAGCCTTGTTTCAGCCGGTAATTTCAAGCAGGCCTGTCTCACCTTTATCATTTTGGCGACGGAGTGCTGCTGCCTGTATGACTACACTGATAAAGGAAACTCATGTAACAAGCTTATGCATCAAGCTGTTATGGCAACCCGTAGCACCGCACAACACCTCCTTCTCTGGAACTTATGAGAAGCTTTCTGTCATGAACGGGAATCGCAGGAAAACATGTGCTATAGCATGTTGTTACCTGACTATCTCTTCAGCCAATTTCAGGCAGAATGCGCAGTTGCCGTGCTCACGTTAAGAGCACTGCGCTTTATCAGCCAGTCTAGAATTGAGATGCATCGACTGAGAGTGCCGGAGGCACCAAAGGTGTCATGCGAAAGAATGCTAAACAACTTGTGCTTCAGAGGCGGTTTCCAGACTTCCCTGCGAGTGGGCCCGCCCCTCCTCACCCCAAGCGTCCCCATGGAGCCGTCGTGCCGCAGCGTCTAGAGCTGGCTCAGTCTTTAGACGGTGCCAGGCAGCAGTCCCGTCAAAGAGGTGCCGGCCTGCGGGAGTTCTTAACTTTCTGAGTGGCAGCTTGCATGGCCATGGCGATCACGATGGGCTCGCACATCCTCGGAGCTCTGGCTCTTTTTGCCTGGGCCGTCTGTGGCCGGGCCGAGAGCAGCGGTACTGTCGTATTCAAGGGTACCCTAAACCCTAAATTGGCCCTAAACCCTAAACCCTAGCAGGGTTATGTGAGAGGAGCTGCCGTCTTCCACAGTTGCCGGTCGGAGGAACGGTTCAGAGCGCTTCTTCTAAGCCTGCATGGGGCGCAGTGTCCAGGGATCTCCAATAAAGATATTTCGAGTCCCTGGCACGGGAGGGAGGAGGCTTAGGGCCTTTCGGCTTTGAAGCTCAGGCTCAGGGTCTTCCCAGCATTCATTTCTTCCCCACTTGGGGGGGGGTTTTCATCACAGGGAGCTCCTGGGAGGTCCCGGCAGAGGGCCCTCACAGGCGCCTCAACCCTAAACCCCCACCCCTAAACCCTACATTGACATCTGAACCCCTAAACCCAAGGTTTAGGGATCTTTGGCACGCTTTTCAGAGTCCTTCTGGGCATCAGACATTGGTTGAATCTGCCTAAACCCTGAACCCTGAACCCTAAACCCTCAACCCCGAACCCTAGCAAAAACACACCTTAAACCCTAAACCCTGAACCCCCCAAAAAACCCTAAACCCTAAACCCATTAAGCAAAAAAAAATCCTGAACCCCTAAATGACCGCCGAGGTTCCCTTCAGGGCTGCCAGGGCTCCGGCGGCGAGTCGGCTCCCGACAGCATCAAGGGCACCGAGGAGTGGGCTCCCTTTTTTTGTTCTCAAATAGTTTAGGTTTTGACTTGAGAAGCTTGATTTGAGCAGTGTCGGTTATGTGATTTCCCCATTCCTTAGTCGGCCACGCAATAGGATGCGGCGGCTTTTCATGTTAGTTAATTGAGGGGAGGGTCTGTTTTGGCAGTTTCCCTGGTTTCAAGACACGCATTGAAACCCGATGGCCTATGAATCCCCGGATGAAAACCCTATGGTTGATGAATCCCCCTTCTAAAAATCCTACAGTTGATGAATCCCCTTATAAAGAACCCGGTAGTTAGTCCCTTGAAGGACCTGATGTCTCAGAAGGCCCACGGCACCTGCGTGGGCCCGCCGCAGAACCCGCTGCGTTGGGGTGCCGACTACGAGACGGTGGGGTTTTGGGGGGATGGGGCGTAGAGATTTTTGGGTGAATGCAGGCCCTTGATAATTTGAAAAGGGTTTCGGGGCATATCTTACTACAATTTAGGAACCCCGAAATAATAACAGTAGGGTTCAGTCTTTCTTCTTTACCTTTTTGGCTTCAGGGTTGGGAACGTCTTTTGGAATGCCTGCTGTCTGAGGTTGGTCTGAGGCGCGGTAAAAACCTAAACCCTATAAGCGCTGAAGTTCTGCGATGCTTACAGCAATGCTGAAAGTACGGAACGTCCCCACTAGACCTCCGTAGCCCCCACACATCGAAGGTCAAGACGCCAAGAAGCCCCTAAACCCTAAACCCGTCCGTAACCCTAAACCCCTAAACTCTAAACCCCAAACCCTAAGCCCTAAACCCTTAATCCCTAAACTCCTCCCTAAACCCTAAACCCTCAAACCCCCAACCCCAGAACCCCCATTGAGAGGGTCTCCATAAGTTCTATAAACCCTAAACCCTAAACCCTGAACCCTGAACCCTAAACCTATATTCTATTTGGGTAGTTCTCTAAATTAGGGTCCTTTTTGGGTCTTTTTTATAAGGGAGCCATACTTTTGCTTGGGATCTAAAGCGGGACCCTAATTTGGAGAACTACCCATTTAGAATATAGGTTGAGGGTTTAGCGGTTCAGGGTTCAGCGTGTACCCCAACAACCTCTTCCAAGTAACCAAGCACCACGGTCCCCAGACTACTGTCTGGTTCTTAGTAGGGTTATTGGGACTACTATAGGGGACCTTAAGGGACTATCATAAGGATCCATTCCCCCATTCCCTACTGAGAACCAGGGACCTAAACCCTCCCTGCGGGTTCACTT